GAAAGAGATAGAGGGAGGGAGAGAGGGAGGGAGAGAGAGAGGAGAGAGAGAGAGAGAGGAGGGCGAGAGAGGGAGGGGAGAGAGGGAGGCGAGAGAGGGAGGGGAGAGAGGGAGCGAGAGAGAGGGAGAGAGAGGGAGAGAGAGGGAGAGAGAGGGAGAGAGAGTGAGAGGGAGAGGAAGAGAGAGAGGGAGAGAGAAAGGGAGAGAGAGGGAGAGAGAGGAAGAGAGAGAGGGAGAGAGAGAGTGAGAGGGAGAGGGAGAGAGAGAGAGATTATCGTGTGTTTTCGTATGTTAGCGAGTGCGTTTTGTGGTTAGATTTTCTTCGGACAATTTCAAAATGACATTCACTAATTTACCTTATTCTACCTTATTCTTTCCCTGGCTCAACAGTACCTAGTTTCGCTTTGGCCTATTTCCGACACTACGAGATCATTGTAGTTGTAGGTTGTTTTTACGTCTGTGGGGGATGGGCCATTTGAGGGTAGATGATGGAGATAGGGACTCAGGATACGCAACGTACATCCCTACCTACAAATGAGTTACGGTTGTGTATCAGTTAATGTTTAATGAAAATAATACAAATAAAGCTAATATATTTGATGCACTTATGAATTATTATTCACTTTGCAATATTGAATCTATGTATCTTAATGACATTTGACATTTATTGCCTTATTAACAAAGTCAAGAAATTTATGGATCATTTAATATCGCACTCAGCAATGAACAGAATTCTGAAAATTAAATAACCTTACAAAAAAGTAAAGCAATATGTTTACGGTTAGTTCTAATAAAATATTTATATTGAAAAAATGTGTTTTATTGGTAAACACATACATTTTGTTTCAAATTTACTCAATTATTACTCTGCTTGTTTTATTCAAGTAACACTTTAAAAATTCTAGAGACCAGTTTCTTAAACAATAGTATTTTCTTATGGATAATTCTGAAAAAAAACCATTGTAGACATTGTTTAGAAAATCTATTAGCCCTTTATTTCCCTGTTTTTTTTGTTTGTTTTGTTTTCATAAAAAGTACTCATATTGTCGAAGAAATGTACTTGACATAATTAAAGATCTAATTTCATAAACAACACGTTTTTAGAGAAAACCCTAAATCTTTAATAATGCCATCTTTAAAGACATATTACTATACATTCTACCAACAAATTTTAAAAATAGAAGATTTTTATAAAACTGAAAATATTTCTAGGGAATTTTGTAAAGTACACTAAAAAATTTCAAGACTTCTTAGATATTCTCAGAGCACAAACTCCGGGCCAGATCGATCATGCAATATCCATTTCGGGAGAAACCTACATACGGTTGGGCGTCAAGTTGTTCACAGACAGACGAGCGAACAGAAAAACAACAACAAACTATTTGATAGAAAAAGTATCAAAGATGTCAAAACCTGCACATAGATTTTCCGCATCATAACGTTTTCAGTGCCACGTCTTTACTACTTGTAAGATGAAGTGAAAATGCATATTAGTTAAACAAATGAAACATGCGATTTAACTATTGATTCAAGCTCTTGTTAAATAACCTATCAAAAGAATCGAAAACGGGTTATTCGAAATCGCAAAATAATTCCTTTTATGATGTATCACATTCCTATCGCTGATTTTAATCTAGAAAACTTTCATCGTATCACAGACGCGCTGGTTTAAAATATCCATTGACAATACTACATATTTGCAGCAACGTGGTAGAGGCTGTAAAATGTCTAATACTGCAGTCGACCACCTGCACCTGCAGTCGTTTGGTAGTAGGTGATGTTGACTCGGATTGAAGGATCAATTTTAACGAAACAAAGGCGAGCATTTTTTAGTAGTACATTGTTGTTGACACATAGAATATACTTATCTACGGAAATCTACGTACGTTCAAGCTGTGATATCTGCTGCTAAGACTTTAGCAAAAGATTTTGAAATGTTACAAAAATTTAAATGATCAAACTTATAAAACTCACTTCTAACTATAACAAAGTTAGTAATATATAATTTCAAACATTAAATTTAATATTTCAAATCGTCGGAAAATGTGGCATGTTTTCGATAAATAACTCAAATGTCTTCGAAAGACATTCCAGTTTCAATATCTGAATTTTGATCTTGGAATTTGCCTTTACTCTGACCATTGATTGAAAAAATGCAAATATTTACGAGTATCCGTTATGAGTTTTAAGAAAAAATAGGTATAATGCAAAGCCTCAAAGGAGAGATAGAATGGAGGCGTTCTGTTGAAGAGAAAATTGTCGCAAACCTACGGTCCCTGGCTGTTTGCAAAGCATTGCGCGAGAAGGAATTCTAGAATATTTTTCGGAAGACTGAAGATTTGTGTCCATTAGCACTTTTGGTAATCAAGTATTACAATATCGAAATATTGCATTAAATAACTTTAAGATGGGGTAAGTTTTGGTACGTCGCTCATTTCCATTCGTTGTTTTTTGTTTTCACGTGTCAATTGCGACGATCACTGTCTTCCTACATTCGATCCATTAACGGCTTTTTACTGTATAACAAGGCCAAATGGCTTCGAAAAATACGTTGTGTTGTGGCCTCCCCGATCACTCGCGGTAACCACTCGTGTCTGTTTACTATAGTGATACTTGGAATTCCAGATGTACGCATGGAGTTCTCTTTTGGGCGAAGACCGGATTTGTATTGAACACGAAATCGCATGCGTGAGTTGCTGTCAAGACTAAATCAAAATACAGGATGAGTTAAAGGAACTTTACAACTTTGAAGGCGTACGAGAGTTTATTGAGATGGCTTGCGGAACTGTTATGTGTAATTTTGTGGCAAGATGCCTCAAGTTTGACATCACAAGTCTCATTTAGGTCCGATGTGACTGCCCTTAATAATATGCCAAACATCCCACCGGAAATCAATTTGTTCCCACATCCATGCCAGCAAATTGGGGGTAACCTTTGCAACGAGAACGTAGATTCGATTTTACGGTGCATGACGTGTTTGTTATACTCTTGATCTGGCATTCACCTGGTATTGATTGGAGAAATCACGAAATAATGCCGTCGCCTGAATTCGTTCTAGCTACACTGATGTTTGTGCAAACCCAGTAGGAATGGTCGAAATCACTTAAAAATCGATGGATGTGTAGAACAGAGTATCCATAAGAAATTATTAAATTTGCATAGAGATGGCTTGCACGTTGATCTAGAAGCGCCTTCTTATATGACATGTCAGGTCAGTGTTATGCCACACTCAGTCCATGTAGAGGTGTCAAACATGGAAACGTCCAAAGCACGTACCGGGATGTCTCGTCCACGCAAAAGAGTCCAATATCAGCATCTGAGTGAGTTCGAATGGGGCCGAATGATCGGTCTCTGGGAAGCGGGTTTGTCATACCGTGATTGTGTGGCTCAAACAGGGTGCGCTGCTTCTACAGAGATGCATGTGTGGAGCCAGCGGACAGAGGAGGCTCCTACACAGCGACGAGCGGGTACTGGAACATAGAATGTGACCACAGTGTAAGATGACCGCCATCTTGGCCTCATGACCGTAGAACGCTGACGTCTACAGTGTTGACTGTGGAGCACTGCAAAGCTTATATTTGTAGTACAGCGAAAGCCACGTACGCGTGAGCATGTCTGTGTCGATGGTTCGACGCCATCTGCTGAGAGCTGGACTGTTGGCACGCTTACCATTTCGTCGGATTCCGTTGTCCATAACAACGAACGTCTCAGACAGCAATGGGCACTTGAACGTATTCACTGGTGCGCTGAGTGGCAAAATGAAGTGTTTTCGGACGAGTTCCGTTTCAATTTGTGCTACAGCGATAGCCGCGTACGTGTTTCAACGCTACCGTGATGATCGCTATCTTCCAGGCTGCATTGTTTTGTGTCAAAATGGACAAACGCCAAGTGTGATGGCTTGGAGAGACATTGGCTACAACGTGCAATCTCGACTCATACGTATTGAGGGCAATCTGAACAGCAACCGCTGCATCAGAGAGCTTTTAGAGCCCACGGTAATGCCCCTCCTGCACGCAGCTCCATATGCCACATTTCAGCAGGACACTGCCCCACTGCGTGTGGCGAGGAATGTGCAAGTATTCTGCGAAGAACGACGGGTATCACTCCTTTCCCTGGCCAGCACGTTTGCCTGACATGTCACCCGTCGAAAAATGTCTGGGATATGATTGGTCGGCAACTTGTTCGTTCAGGTTCTCTTGCAGCCACTCTCGATGCTTTGTGGTCTAAGCAAAGAAACCGTCTGGCAGCGTGGTTCCCCAACAGCATATCTACGGACTCTCTGAAACCATTCCACACGTCTAGAAGCTCCGATGGTAACGCGTGACCCCCTACTAAATAATCAATGTCAAAAGTCAAGTAGAGTTCTGTAATTCTTATCGTATGTATAGTGTGATAATCCTAAATATATATATATATATATATATATATATATATATATATATATATATATATATATATATATATATTCCTCTGGAATAAATTTCACTGTGATAGTTTGTCTTCTTAGTGTTGCAATTTTCACAAACACCAGTGTATATAGCTCTGGTCAAAATCCTCCACCGTCTGGTCTCGAACTCACCATAAGATAAGATAAATTTATTTGAACTGCAAATGGGCATAACCCGGTGGCAGCTAATTGCATAAATAAGATAATACAGCTAACATACAAATTATATGATAATTATTATAATAAAATAATAACATTAATAATAAAAATAATAATGATAAAAAACTAATTTATAAAACATTTAAAATTACCTTAAAACAAAAAGAAACATCATAGTCAAACTCCGCACTGATTTTTTGTTCAACTGCACTTCAGTACACTACTACTATGATAATCACTTCCTACATTATTTCTCTGTTCTACACGGCACGACACCTCGGCTTCACAATATATTGCTGACGCATCGCTCTATATCACATCCATCAGAGACGCTGATGGAACTGCGGCAAATCTCCGAACCAAACTCATCGATTGCTTGCCGGCTGTGCCGCAGGTTTGCTGCACGGCGCCATCGCCATGAGCGGCGACGCGCTCTCCCCGTGGGCGATGGCGCGCCGCCCGCGCCAGAACGCCCTCGCCCTGTGCCAGCTGCTCGCCGCCTGCTGCCCCGGCGCCGCGCCCGACGCCATCGCGCGCTGCCTGCGCCGCGTCGACGCCAACACGCTCGTCGGCAGCCAGAGCCAGGCCCCGCCCGAGGAGGTACGCGTCTTTCACATTGATTGTGAAGCACGGCAAAATGCCGAAATGGATTTTCGGCATTACACGCAAAAACGTTCGTCTTGAATAGCTCGGAAAATAAAAGGAAACGCGCAATGAAGTAAAGTAATATGAGACGTTGAGAACGTAAAATATTAGAAAATAAAAATATTAATTGGATTCAATAATATATGGACAATTAAGGATTTTTTCGACAATATAGCAATGAAATATTATGACTTGTGACGCTAGCGGTAGATAGTTGCGGTGCGACAAGAGCGCATCGAGGAAGAAAGATAACAATCAAACAAGTGGACCGGTGAGGCCAGATAGAAAGAGTAAATGAGGATTTTTAGTCAGAATTATCTTCGATTTGGTATAGTTAGGATCAATGGCCGTCCAAGCATTGTGTAGTAATATTTTTGTGATTAGCTCGAGGAGGCAGAAAACGGTCCACGGGTAACGGGAGAATGGCGAAGTCATTTAAATGAAATTTTTCGAGGGAAATAAGTCTGTAATATTCGTGAGATAAATAAATCGCGAGTAAGAATAGAAATTGTATTAGTTGAAATTCAGTGCGGAGCTCCAGATGGAATTGAAACAGTTGCAGACGTCATTAACGAAGCCAAGATTGCCATACATTCTGCAAAAGGAAAGTTTAGACAATAAGTAACAGGCCTTAATAAAAATATTATAAGGCCAAGTCATGTATAAATATTAAGTTAACATAAAAATTACGAAATAATTATTATGTGATGTTGGTAGGAATTTGATGGCCATCAATAGAAACAATAGAGAAATAGAAAAATAAGTTCTTGAACAAAATTAATGAAGGAGGATTTTGAAATGGAAAAAAATCATCTCAGTCGACAATTAGTGTCACCTACAATCCATAAAGAAAATTTGTAATTATTTAATTTATTAGTAACAAAGATTCCCAAATAGTAATTAAATTGTTCACCACCCAAACTCTCATACGAGCGGTATTTTTAGGCTCGCGAGACAAGAAAGAAGCCTGAGGAGCGTAAGTATGCTGTCGCCTAAAAAATTAAATTAAAAACAGAGCTAGTCGCTCCATTAATTATCTTTTCTTTCTTTCTCTCTGTCTCTGTCTTTATAAGTAAAAATTATTTTGATTCACTTCAATGATAGGCCCAATACTAGATCGTAAAGTATAGTAAATAGTTTAAAAGTAAATTAATAGTATTGTAAAAAAAGTATTTAAATGAAGGAATGGTTAGTTCACTTCAATTGATTAGCCAATCCGGGTGTGTTAAAAAAACCTGTCATTAGTTCCATAAGTATAGTGCATATTTCTTATTGCGGGAGGTGATTACTGCGGCCTGGCGAGGCCGACGCTGACCTAGGTCGGCTAATGGGATTTTCCTTCACCAAGGATCTCTGACCAGCAGGGCACTGCTCAGTCGGGATAAGTTGTAAGCTCCCGATTGGCCTTCCGATGAGAGGTAGTGTAATGCATGTTAGTGTAAGTTTGTGTAAGGAAGAAAAAAATATTGCTCGCGGACTGTGTCCCGTTTGGTTGGTACTGCTCCGGACTCGCTCGGCGTTGATCTAAGAAACCACCGAAAAATACCGATCAGAGCAGCCGGTCACTAAAGATATCCTCCAGGCAGGGGATGAATTCGACTTAGCTGTCTAGCTAGTGTCGGAAATCCTGCCACCGGCGGTACTCGAACCACAGGACGTCCCGATCAGTAGCACTGCAATGACATAAGTTGAGCCACCTTTGCCGGCATTTTCCGTTGAATATATCCCCTCAAATGTGAAAGTTCTGGACTGTCCGGGTGATACCGCGTTGAAAGCAGTAACGCCGACGTTTCGTACACATATCGCGGTCATCTTTAGGGCTGGAGTCCATCACTGCCCGCGGTGTGGCGTCATCCGGGCACCCGGAAACCTTCCCATGACTGACCGCAGGAGCGTAAGATTCCATACCATTAGACTTCGGTTAGACTTTGTGCCAGCATGCACACATATAGAATAAGCATGTTTCGTGCAATTAATCGGCTTGTAAAAGAAACTTAATGGAATAATGCTCTGTTAATTCTTATTACAGGAGGACAGGGACATGACAGAACGTAAGGAAGGAGTCAATACATAGCACCAAATGCTTGGACTATAGTTACAAATCTTGGCACTAGTATCAATTGACGGAACTATACCCAAGGACGATTAAAACATATTTAGAAGAGCGGAGATATTTAATAAAAATATTTTTTGCGTCAATTTATGCGAATAACTATTTAGCGTAATTCTTAGTTTCTATTTTGTGACGGTAATAAATCAAACTGCGACGTGCTATTGGAAGTGCAGTTGGAGAATGTAATTTATAAACGTAATATATAGTTATATTGTTCAGGCAATTCAAAAACCCGAATTCAAATCAAAAAGTGGACTCTTCTCTATCCCAGAGCTAAAATCATTTGAGGTAAATGATCAATAGTTGAGAGATAAATATTTATCAACGTTGAGAGTATCAGTGAGGTCAATATGTTTACCTAACAAGTTAAAAATATTCATTAAATAAAGTTTTAACCTTTTTGATACTCTTTGATTTCTTCCTTGTTACAAAGCAATCATGAAGGGGGAAACCGTGTTACGAATCATGCAGCATTGAATGACGCGCAATAGTCGTAGTGGCATAAAGAACCCCATCCTTTGAGGAAACATTATGCCAAGTTTAGGTAATATTTTTATTAAAAACCATTTGTTTCAGTAATTATCATCACATAAAGTAGATAAAACATGTGTTTAAATTTCATGTTATTAAAACCTTCCCAAAGTGACACAGAGCCACCTCAGTTTATTCAATAGAAAAACTTCGTGATGCATTTCCCTCGCGACTCTCTCACCACCAAGTAGCTTCCTCAACGCTCTCCACAGTACCGTAATCTCTCAGTCTAATTTTCACCCTCCAGCAGGTAAGCCCTTTTTCTTAGTGACATCTTCCATGTTATCCATCCGTTTAGTGTTGGAACGTATAATATCATATTGCCTACTCACTGCTTTATAGTAGATAATCTTATGAATTCTTGATTATTCCATTAAAGTTCTTCAGCAAGCCAATTTGCGTCTATGTTAAGTAACCACTTTTCGTTTAAAACAAGGAATTATCCCAGAGTAGTTGCTGTATAATATATAAGTTAGGACACTACAGTTTCTTACGAAAAAAATCGATTTAAATAAGTAAGCAATCTGATGGTTCACACCACATTGATGAAACGCAGCTTGAACTTCAATAACAATCAAAAAAAGTGTTCGACCATGTGAACGGTGTCTCTGATTACTGTAGACATCGGGTCGGGCGGGGGAAATCAACGAAACGGTTGCGATTTTGAAGAAAAGGCATATATTTGATTTCGGTTTCTCGCACCATATGTTCATACTTAGTTCGTTCCTGCTTTTAGTATCCCTCACGACGTGTACCGTTTCAGAACAGAGAGTATGTGCTGCTCAAGGACTGCATTTTCCACACACCCCACTGCATCATTTTTGCTTGAGCACGCCACTAGTCTGATATCAATGTTCCGCGCAGCTGCTGCACCGGCTGTGGAGGAACCCCTTCCTGCCGTCCGTGGAGGCGCCTGGGGCCAGTGACGCGCCGTTCCTCACCGCCGACCCAGAGAAGCTCCTGCGCGAGGGCCACTTCCTGAAAGTGCCCTTCATCACGGGCTTCACCAACGCAGAAGGCATCCTCTACATCAGGTGTAAGTTTCCTTCAGCTTAGTGAAGTTTCTTGCCCACGATTTAAAATCCGATTGTGCTTCATCGCTTTTTCTTCAATTTCCATTTAATAATAATTTTAATATAAAAACATTCAATATCAGTTATATTTTAAAATCTACAGAACCAATTATTACTTGCTAGAATAGCGATTATTACTTACTTGAAGAGCCATTTAAACCTCTTTTTACGTATTACAATATTTTACAATTTTACAATTACTTACAATTTTATACCAATCACCAAGAAACGTTCAGAACTATAGTAGATGTAAAATTTTTTAAGACTAAGAGCAGTGTAGATCTACACTTCTTACATAAAATAAAAAAGAGTACAGGACATATGCTAGATAACTCTTTTCGCTCATTTAAGAGGCCGATCTCCTCAAGAATTGATTCAATTGAATACCTGGCCCTTGATTTCTCCGTTCATCTTCGAATTATCTCGGACGAGTTATTTGCCCGTAATTAATTTTGAACGACAATGCCAGTTCTAAAAAAAACGCTACTAATTGAATAAAAAGTTTTTGTCTCATTTATCAATAATATGTATGTTCGTAATAACATTATTATCACTCTTTTCTATCAGTCCCGTTCCAGTTTTGGTGAAAACGAATTCATTAATCGTCAATTGTTAGAGTCCAGAGTATTGAATGGCTACAAATTTATTACTTATGATTTCCCAATGGCCAGCGAGCAGCCAGCTGAACAAACACATAAAATGTTTTCCCAAAATGTAGTGATTAACTTGGAACTTTGTAGGGTTGTAAGGATTGTGACTTGCAGTATTCCCTAGGTTATATTTGCATTGGTTTTCTTTCATGAATAGCAGAAGTATCGGTTTGTTAAGATATAACATTTTCAATGCAATATGCACAGAGTTCTTTCACAAACCATTTGTTGAAAGCATGTATTGTGTGCCATAATTAAATTAAAATATTTATTTTCGCTTATAGATATTTTTTCGTTTATTCTCCATTTATCGTAACTAACTTCACAAAGTAAGAAAAAAAATTATAAATTGAACCAGTGTTTAACATGTATATGGAAGTCATTTTAGAGTTTTATAATTTACTTATGACACACAATACTCGAAGTATCTTCAAATTTGAGTCAGGTAAAGATATGCCAATATCAAGACAGTAGAGTAGGTGAAGTACGATACACTGAGGGCAATCTGCAGGAAATCAGCAACAGCGAGGTTAACTGTTGATGGCTTGTGAGATACCAGGTGTCTATTTTGAATTTCATTATACCATTCGTAAATTTATATCTTCACACTATATGGTTACCGCAGAAATCTTGTAGACATCCATATGGGGAAATTACTTTAAGCAAAAGTTTTTACCTATCCATTCTTTCTACGCGGCACTACCTACGAAGATCTCACTATATTCCTTAGTTGTCTGTACGACAATTTCCGGGATGAAAGAACGAATTTCCAGCCTTCAGCCTTTGAGAATTACATAAAACAACATTGATTCTGTGCAAATCATAATTTCATATGCACTCTCATGCCAATATAATTCCCGGGTACACATAAGACTCCCAATCGACAATCACGTTACGTTACTTTACCCCGTAGTTACAATCCCGTACCTAATGCTAACATTAGCAGGATAAAATCCTATGCAACATCGATTCTCTCATTTGTCGTAAATGTCAAGAAGTATGAATCAGACCCAGACAGAGCTTTGACTGGTAATTTTAAGAAAAAGCTAATACTTATTAGCAAAAGCATTTCCTAGTTTCTTAAGCTAAATTTTCCAGCAAATGCTTGAAAAGGTGTGAATAAAGATCAGCCAAAGCTTTCCTTTTGAAGCAACCGCTGGTCATTTTTCTAGTGTTCCAGTCCAATGTCTTGGCATTCTTGAAGTGTGTTTATTTTTAAAATAGCTATTTTGATTCATACTCGATCTCGCAAATATTACAAGCAAATTGAATGTCCCGAAAGTGATTTTTCCTTATAACGGTTTACTTAAGAAAATATGAATTGGGTAGCTATTTAAATCCTGGGCGAGACACGAAACGAGAGGTAGAGCGTTATCACCCGTTCAGAAGATGTAGATATTTGTTAGTTTTTTTAAGTAGTCTTGGCTTCCAAGCAAGTGTAGCAAAAGAAGGCGATCACCAAACAACTATTTGCAAAACTATCACATTTGTAATGAATAAATTCCAAAGAAATATCATAGATAATGTTTCCAACGTACATGAACTGTGCTCGGGAACAGTGGGCAGAAACACAGATATCGCTTCCTTTGAGCAATTGGCATTATAGATTGCCGTGCCAACAAAGAAACTTACTTGTCAGGGAATGAATACATAAATCGCAAGAATTTTACAAGCATAAAAATCAGGCTACCTGCAATGCGAATGAAGAGTTAACTAATATAGGTGCTCAATGGTTTGGATCTGTACATGACAGTCGAATACGATCTGACATTTATGAATTTTAAAATGAACACAAAAGTGACGTAGTTTTACTTGGAAATATCGGATATGGAAAAACGCCAAAGTTGCTTACACAGTACCGATATCCTTCAACACCCAAGGAAATGGCATACAATAACCTTTTTGTTAAGGACAGCATTATATAGAACGATGTTTTTTTCTTCCCGAATTGTTCCATGTATGAAATGAAGGCTTTTTTTTCGCTAATTTAATTCACGACACCTGCAATTCAGTAAAAAGTATTTTGTATGTTAAAAACGGAGCTGATTACAATCACTTTCATTATTTTGGATGTATTAAACGGAAGACATATTGAAATTACTCAAATTTTGTATATTTAATACCTTGAAAATTGTAAAATTTGTGGGAAACACCTTCAAAACGTGAACATAAACAAATCAATACTAAAACAATTAACAACAAAAACATTTGCCTAGCAAATGCTATAATTTTCCAGATTTAACTCCCTAGTATTACAAAAGCTTATTCACTCCTTTGCTAGCAAATGCTAGTGACAGAAGCTGAAACTAGTTAGAAAATAATAATGCTATTACTAAATGCTACACACTTTTGCGTACTTTTTATTCACATCACTCAATATACTAAGCATATACTAGTCGCTATTGGCTGTCCCCGTACACCACGTCCTATGCCAACGTATCGGCCGCCATTCTGTAACCTTCTTCGGGGCGAAATGGCGTTTCAGGAACAAACAGCATTTCACCCTCGGGAAGGTCGCAGAGCCGAAACTTTGGCCCCTGTGGCTAGGGCGCGTCTTCCTGACAGCCAAGTAGCTACTAACTCCGGCCGCAGAACTCAACGCTCTTATCACACGCAATGGATTCGTATGCCGCCACCCGGATTCTTCCACTCTTCGACACGCATGTGTAGGAATCAGACCTGTAATTATGAATGCCGAATCGCCAATAAACAAAAGCACCAACGCAATGACGCGTGCGCAGTCGCCGGCCTCTTCAGCGACCCGGCGCAGTGGGCGAGCGTGGACGAGCGGTTCGTGGAGAGGTTCCGGTGGGAGATGCCGCTGGGCATCCAGGGGGCGGACGAAATCAACGCGGTGCGCGCCTTCTACATGGGCGACCGCAACATCCGAGACGCCAACGAGGACCCCGAGGCCTTGCGCAGGTTCCTGCAGGTGAGGCAATCACAATTACCTCATTCACCTTTAATTTACCAGGGCCACTCGCATTGAGATCCCGGAAATAGAAAGTTTGCAGGGAAACAGTTACAAACAACATCTATTTACGCAAACTAATTTTGGAAAGGGCTAGTGTCACCCTAGAATCACGTATACACAATGACTTGGTGTAAATTTGAAGGGCGTATAGGATAGACAAAGATGACCATTATTTGCCAATCAGAATCTGGTGGGAGATCGTATACATAATACATAATCGTATACGTTTGTGGTTTTTTCCCCTAAAACTCATCAAGAGATTTCGTGTAGTCAAACAAATAAAGTTGCCTACCAGTTTGGTACATATCGTTGCAACAATTCGTTACAATAGATTTTCCGCTAATGTTCTTTAGCAAAAACGATTGCCTTCGCCCCGCTATATGTCCTTAAGCTTTACATTCACCCGGAGACTTACAGAACAATACTTACTACAAAGATAAATTCAAAGCGATACATTCAAAGTTTTTATTGATTTTTAATCCCTGATGTTAATTTTAAAATCAGTCTTTATATTTATTCCTATTTTTGGCTCGCTGGTCTTTTATTGCGAAATTCTAAAGAAAGAACTTGTAGAACATTCGAATCTTCGAATCAAGAAAAATTTGCCCGACTTCGCGCCTAACTTGTTTGAATCGTTACAAATCGTATCTCCTAAAAGATCGCTGTGGTGCTTGCTCTATCCCTAATATTTTAGGTGAACTCTAAGGCCGCGAATCAAGTATTTGTGCAGATGGTGACGAATACATACTTTTTATGTTGGCGGTTTGATCACTTCAAAACCAATTAACATCTAAATGGGATAATTCCACTATATAGAGATTGTTAAAAAATAACATGTTAATTTATTATAGATTAATAGAAAAATAATCTATCCTGCGTCGTAATTTTGATAGCAAAAAACCGACACCCAAATTAAAATGTGACCTGAAAATATATGTTTTTCTGTGTTGTTTTGTTGTATCTATGACTTAGATGGCTTAGTTTTTGAGCAACTGTGATTTGTCTTCGACAAACCCACTTAAGCCTCATCGTTTCTCTTTATAAATTATGACAATCTACACGACTATACGACCACGAGAATATTCCACTCTAAAATACACAATTCCAAACTATTAGTGTAATATCAAACTGTAGTGGGAAATAATAAAAACTAATAATGAGAATTAAATTTGACTTTCAAACTTCCTTACAAGCATACTAGTGAAATGCGTCGTCGACGACGCTGTAAATTGTTTTTAAAATATTTTTGTGTGTTGAAAATTTATTTTATAGTTCATGAAGATCATTCCCAATGAGTTCCAAAAATTCTGTCGTATCATCTTTTATTAACTACAAATTTGATTCTTCCGCGTATTTTCTTAACACTTTCATATTTTTATCCCCTAATTATTGAAGAGAATAAAACGTCTCAAACTCAGTCTAATTTGTGTACATTTCTAATTACAATAATATTACATACAATAAAGTGTAATATTATAAACTAGTTGCATAATATATTAACACTGGCGGACCCGGCAATGCTTTGCTATTGACGTGTATTAGACTGCAACTAACCGCTACTGGTCACGCGATAGTTAAACAAGTTTTACGCTACACTTTGCACAAATTCTAGTAGATGAAAGATTTTTTCGTGAGTGTAGGTTTGTTCCATAACCGGGTTTGAACATGGCTGTCAAGTTTCATATTGTTAAGACGTTCTTCCTTATATTTGTTCATACTTTCGCTATGAAACTGTATTGGAGAAAATTGATTTACTTGTCCAAGATAACGATGAAATAATATCGGGTATTAAAAATCCCGTTGATAATTCACAATCGCAAGGGCAGAATGTGCAACCAGACACGCGCGTAATACTTGACGGTACGCCTTATTGCCTAGCACTTCTTTTTGGGGGAGATTTAGAATACTAACATAAACGCGAGACATCATCAACGCCTCTTTATGTCCAAATAAAGTCAAACTACTCTTTAAGAACTCCCGCAGCTTATAAGAACAAAGTATGAAAATTTAAGTGAAATCAGTAAAGTAGTGTTTGTAGAAATAATTGAAGTCGTCTCCGTCAATTTAATATATTTATTTAGAGAATTGTCTCCCGACCTTTGCAACACACAGTGTGACTGGTGTTGACGGCAAAACCGCCGAAAGCCGCCTCTCTAAAATAAATATATTAAGTTGAAGGAAATGACTTGCATTATTTCTCCTTGTAATTATGTTCACAATACATCATAACTCCCACGATTCAAGATGGTGTTTGCGTTTACACGCGACATGCAAACGCATATTCTCTTTTATTGACGTGAGGACGGGTCTGCCCGCAGCTGACGACGGACATGCTGTTCGCCACGAGCAGCGTGACCTCAGCACGCCTCATGGCGCAGGCCGGCGCGCCGGTGTGGGTGTACGAGTTCACGCACGAGAACCCGTCGCCCCTCTTCAAGCACTTCCTGTACAACGCGTCGCACGTGCCCGGCGTGGCCCACGGCGAGGACCTCGGCTACTTGTTCAACATAGCGCGCAGGCGCGGCGACCTGCCCATGCGCGACCCGCCCGCCGAGGACGCCGTGCGCCAGCGCCTGGTGCGCCTCTTCATGGACTTCGCCAAAACCGGGTGAGTTTTCTGATAAGGGTGGCGATGTCGCCAACAAACCATCCAAATATCGAAATATTGAATCGATTGCTCAATTAATTGATTAATGAAACCGGGTGCGTTCAGTAAACTGATAAGGTAAGATTACTGTAAGCACTTAAACTGCGACGGTTACTTCCCGTAAGAGTAGTGCGTGTGTTTTTATCGCGGGACCCGATGGATGGCGAGATCCGTCAGCTTGCGAGATTTTCCCAACTAGGAATCTCCCCCCAGCGGGGCACCGTCCCCAGTAGGGACAAGCTCTAAGTTAGCAACTCTTCTCTCGACGAGAGGGATGGTGTAGTGCATGTGAGTGTAAGGGGTGAGGAGAGGTCAAGGAAGAGGAAGAAAAGATGGCGCGTGATCCGTGGACGTTTGGTAAAGTACTGCTCCGGAATTCGCCTGACGTTCATTGGTGAAACCACTGAGATTTACCGATCAAAGAAGTCGGCAGCTACAATTCTTCTCCAGACAGTGGATGAATTCGACGTAGCTTTGTAGAAAATTCTGCCACTCTAAGGACGCAAACCATCGGACCTCCCGGTTAGAGGCACTGCAGTGACATGAATTGGTGCCCTGAGCCACCTAAACCAGCTCGATGCTCAAAATATAGACTATATACGAGGGTAAGTAAATACGTTTTGCACTGGATGTTTATAATTGATTACAACTACAGTACAAACTTTAATATGAGACAATGTTTCTACATAAACACCATGCTTTTCGATGAACTTATTATTAACTATTAGTGCAAATGCTCTCCGACATTATGAGGTAACAAGATTTTCGATTGAGAAGCATACCTTGTGTGCTTTGCTTTAACTGTAGGTCGTAGGCAAAACTTCGTCTCTCAAAGCGTACGTAAGTGATCTTAACAGAAGATAATTAGACGTGACAAAATCGCAACCGTATTCGGGATACTCCAGCTCCTCGAAATACAGATTTTGATTACCGGTGGCTAATGCGTTGTCTTGCAACAAAAAAAATATTTTTCGACAACCCATGGGGCGTTCGCATGTGCAAACCCTAACGTGCATACAGTTTGCCACTTCATTAATTATGAGAATGTTGAGGTGAAATGATGGAATAATCGAAGATGAATAGATAGTATGTTGACGAAGATACGAGTAACTTCAATTATTCTATCCCTCCATCAATTGTCACTTATCGGTTATTCAGTTTCAATGCACGAACTTGCCCCAATGCCTGAAACTATAGTCAACTTAGACACTATTGAAACAAAAATGCTTGTTCGTTTTGTCTCACCCTCGTATTTAGAACACCAAGTGCATTCGTTTAAAGTGTCCTTTGAGATACTGAACTTCATGACTTGTTCTCTAAGTAAGAGGTAGCAAGCCGTACAAAGGATATCACTTGCTCTTTTTATATTTGAATATTAATAATTTCTGAACGTAAATATAATGAACGCTGACCTGCTGTCATTTAATCATTACATATTTTTTGATACGAGTTGCATATAGCTCTACAATTAAAAAGCAATTATTTTGCTGCAATGTCTGATCGATCATGTGACTGAAGATGTGTTTAGCTAAATGAGAGAGAGAGAGAAAGAGAGAGAGAGAGAGAGACGGAGGAGAGAGAGAGACGGAGGAGATATAATTTCAAATATTTCAATAATTTATTGTACAAATTATATGACTTATAAAACTGAACTATTTATTTTGTCTTCTAAATGCATTGTAAAGTTTGGGTCCTTTACCAAAACCTTTCCAGCGGCCCACGCATCTGCGCCATCATATAGACACATTTCGGGGAAGAGAATTTACCACTGTGGTCAGCGCGGATAGGACTCGACCTGCCATTTGCTGACCGCAACTTAGAGCGGCGCTTGCTGCTCAAGGCGATGGTCAGTTCCGAAAGGGCATGGCGCGACGCCCCTCCACGGAAGGCTCGGCTTATAAAGATGGCGAACAAATGACGCGAAAGCCCTTCTTGGTTGGATTGCCGGTGGAGTCAATTGTAAGCTACGAGCTTATACAGTTCAGGCACGAGGTCGCCATCTGGTTAATAGATCATAGTGGAACTTGCATAGTGAAAACCGCTGCTTGAATGTAAAATAGAGGAAAGTCGGTGCTGATATAAAACTGCCGAAAATTTAACTGGATTAGAAGGCAAACTAGTTGCGGAATTTCTACAGTATTTTTTTTGCCAATCGTAAGAACTGAGCGACCTGATTAGAATTTGTGGTTCAAAGTGTGTGCCGAAATCGACGCCAAGAGGTATAAAGTTGCTTACGCATACACGGATTGTGAGCGTTCTTTGTGGGGGAGATCGGAGCAGAAGAGTGAAGAAGAGTAGAAGTACGAGTGTTTCCCGGTGCCAGAAGAGGAAGCAGGAGGGAAGGAACTGGATGTTGGAATTCTCGATTGGAGTTGGTATACGCGGATCGCGGGGCAACGGCGCCCGATGGAGCCAACGAGGCGGAGACAGCGGCGCTCAACCCCGTGCGCGGAGCGACGTCCACGCCGCACAGTGGTTCCAAATGCCGAAAACGTGGCCAAAAGTCAAGGGCGAGGGTCAAGGGCGAGCACGAGCACAAAGGCAAAAGAACTGTATTACAACACGAAATCTCGAAGTGCTTTTCAAACGTTAGGCGTGTGACCGCTTAGAATTGCTTTGAGCAGCAGTCGCTCCAAAGAAATTTGCATTAACTAAATTAGGAAGCGACGAGGTATTCACATTGAAAACAGCATAATTTACAAATAGAATGGGTTGAGGAGCAAGCTGTATGCCCACGACTGACGCGAAAGCCTTGTATATTTTTCAGCACATCTCTTTTGAAAGTGAGTTGGAAACAAATTTGGAAAGTGTATTGAAAATGTTTGTAAATAATTATTGTATTTCATTGTGTCCTGTTAAGCTATTTAAATTGATAGAAATTAAATCAGTTTAATAAAGATATGCAGTTAAATTTGATTGTATGACATGGTTAGAGAATTTGAATTTAAAGTGTTACAATTTAAGTGATAAGAGCAAACGTTTACTTAATTTCGTTCATTGAGGTTCAAACCATTCACGGTACTATTATTTCAGAGTTAATTCAACTGAAATAAGTCTTTTTCAAACGAATTGCTGAGTGTTTATGAAAGGATGAGGTTCGCAAATCGAAAAAATCAGATTTTGTATAATTTTGTTTTATTCTATATTTCTTTGAATTATCTGTATGTATTCAGTTAGTGGCAGAATATATGCCATGTTTATTTGAGTTTTGTGTCTTGGGAATCCTTTCTCACACCCTGATGTAAAATCAAGCTCGCAACGAGCATCCGTCATCCCTTACGTGCCTGTGGATGCTAATTAAGTAAGTGGGGGCATTACATCATAACGCTCGTTGATGTAGGAGTAAACGTCACCGCTGTTTCGCAATTAAATCACGCGATTTCATTTTTTTCGAAGTCTCCGATTTTATTTATATCAGGTTCCTCAATGTTTCTTTTCTGCAACTAAACTGTATAACTATTTACCTTGCCTTTTAAAGTTAACAAATCAGGCCCAGCATCTGCCAGGAAACACGCAGACGAGCGTCGAAATGTATATACATTCTCATTTTGCAGGTTTTAAAATTTTTGCTATCACGAGCATCTTAAAAGTGTCTTCCGTACTGTTTCAACTGTACATTAGTGGTTGCAAAAACCATATGCTTATGGTTTGTGTGGGTCTGGAACTTTCCACGGGACTTGGACGCCAGTGCTCACGCTGGTGTACTCAGCAGGCTCATTTGACTGATGGCGTGTGCTTAAGGGGGTTAAAGCTGAAGAGGGCGGTCGTTGGGAGTTTTGTAAACATTATATTGCGTTTGGCGAGTGAAAATAGATCTGTAGATATAAACTAAAGGTCGGTCACTTACTTACTCTGAACTAACTGTATACTTATGTCAAAGTTGTCGCTCACGAAGAGTAGAGTTCCGAACTACTGCTCTACAGACACTTCCTCTTATCGTAATTTGGCAAATACAAAAAATGACTCGTACAATTCGCTTCACCAGAACAAAACGTTGAAGGCCATTTAAATCTAAAATGCCAGCGTATAGCAGCCACTGACAGAGTTTACTTCGATCATCCGGATTAGAACTATTTGTTACGACCCTAAAAATATATTTTCTTGTGAATCCGTCTTAAAATAGGATTCTACTAGCTATTATCGGTATCGTCGTTTTCTGCACTCATACGCTTACAGCTTTTCTAAAAAAATGTATCACTTCAAGTACGAATATTTTTCTATTTTTCTATTTATATAATTGTTCGTGGCTAATAATAATTGTTTCCTTAATATTATTAATAACTAAAGATTAAATTATTTTTCAGCAATTTACATTTTTATTTTGTTAGTAAAACTTCATCATTTTAATATATAATAAACATATATTATAAAATGATAAATTCCAGAGAAATAATTTAATACATAATTGCCAATATTAAGAAAACAATTGATTTTTACGAACTATTCAATGTCTTAAAATCCCTTTCCCTCTTTTCTCATCTAATCTTTCTGTCATGGTTTTCTATTTATGTTTTTATTTTTTCCATTTACTTTTATTTATATATTTTGACGCAACAATGCCTCACCCCAATAGTATCATTGTTGTTCGTGAGGCAAGTTTCATTTCTTCTGCTTTTCCACAGAGTAATACTTTCTTTTCTTCGATTCTAATAATTTTTTTTCTTCGTTCAATGTTACAAAATATTCGTACTTGCAACTTATAGATTTCGCTTTTTTCGGCATCTCAAAGCTCCTGTTCCTGAAGCTTCAGACGCCACAATAATCATTCGAAATATATCATGATGCTGCGAGGAATATAATTATGTGTGACTATTTCACTATTTCAAACCAAAAAAACTTGATCACAGGCTTTTAAACACAAGATAAAAATACGACAATGCTTTGAAGTTACTTGTACATACCCCTTTTCTAAATAATTTTTTAAAAACC